ACACACACACACGCACACACACACACACACACACACACACACACACACACACACACACACGCACACACATATATATATGCATATACATATATGCATATTTTTTCGTGTTGCAGCCCCTTCATACATTCCTCAAATCGTCTCACTGGAAGCTCGAGGACCGCACTCTGTGCGCATCAACTGGAAACAGGTGCCTTTCAGTTTCATATTAACATTCATGATTATTTTAATAGACAGTATAATTACGATTGATTAACAAAGGTGAGCTATAACAAAGCTGAGAGGGAATTCACGCACTGACACATACATTGAAATATAAGATGTTTTTGAAGAAAATCAACCTCACTGTCGAGAAATATTCAGGTCTTGCTACTGGACCACCGCACTACATTGTGAATATGTTATTATCCAAACTAATAACTATAACTTAACCATATCTCTTATCGATATCTTCGATCAAACATTACCCTAACCTATCCCTAATCATAATGTATAACCACTACACTAATCCTAGGCTCACAATTAAGATTTTGGTGTCCATATTGTAACTAAGATCGTAACTGGCAAATAAATTCTATCGGGTTCTTGCAGTGCGATCCTCTCTACGTATTCTATATACAATATGTACTCTACATATAGACGTATACCTATATATATATAGGCCTATATATACATGGTATTATATATGGTATATTATATATATTTATACGTATAGAATACGTGCTCTGCGTAGTCTACAGTCTTCTCTGCTTGTGTTGCGCATGCGTGCTGCAGGCCCCGGCCGACGCCATGTTGGAGGGATACGCCGTCGCCTACTCGCACAGCAGCGAGCGGGAGCACTACGCCATGATTCAGATGCCTGACCCGAGCGTCACTAGTTACGTGCTGAAGGGTCTGCACGAGGGAGAGACTTACCAGATCCGCGTGGCAGCGACAAACCTGGGCGGCATAGGCAGCTTCTCGGAGCCGTGGGTGATGGAGACTGAACTCGGTAATAATCAGCCTGCGATCGCTCGCGTTGCTTCGTCGTCGACACTCTTAGATTATACTTAGCTCTTATTATTTCTGCGTATACTTACTACTTCTTACTTTTTATTATCTATTTCTTAGTTTTTGTAGTCTAGTATACGTTAGTATTATGTTTCTTGTATTTGACCTATCCTATGATGATTGGCATATCTGCCAGAGCGTGATAACCACGACTCTGATGAAGTTGCACTATATATGTATATACATCAAGCGCTAATAATACATTAGTATGGTGTTATTAGTTCCTAATTTTAATATATATATATATATATATATTTATTTATTTATTTATTCATTTATTTATTTATTTATTTATTTATTTATTTATATATATAGTGTAGCTATCTAGTAGATATCTATGTCGCAGGTGTGTTCAGCAAGAAAGGCTATCCGTCCGCAACGCCACGCGGCACGGCCATCGCCGCCGTCGCCGGCGTCACGGGCGGTGCGCTGCTCATCATCGTCATCGTCGTGCTGTGCAGCCAGCATAAGCGACTGCCGTCGCTCGACTCCGTCAACCTGCTGCGCTCGGGATACATAGCCGAGAACCTCAGCGCCACCAGGTGAGCGAAAGAGTGACCATCGCTGATTAGTTTCACTGGATCACTTGTATCGTTGATTCGCTTGTATCGTTATTGTTATTGTTATTGTTATTGTTTTTTTTGTAATTGTTGTTGTTATTATTATTATTTAAAAATTATTGATATTTTTATTTTTATTATTATTATTATTAATATTATTAATATTATTATTATTAATATTATTATTATTATTATAATTATTATTATTATTATTATTATTATTATTATCATTATTGTCATTGTTGTTGTTGTTACAATTTTTATATTTCTTTCTTTGTCTCTTTTCTATTTTATTTATCGTGATTTCTTTAGCGAAACACACGCGATGTTCATGACAGAATGGCAGCAGCATCAAATGCAGGCCTTTCATTTGCTGCCATATACAGGGTCCATCCTTGTGCTAAATTCTTGTTTTGCGTCTATTCGCCTAACCACCGATTCTTTCGAGCAGCTATCGAAATTATTGTTAATCCAGCTCAGCATCGCGTAGAGACTTCGAGTTTTCAATCACAGAACTTCGCACAACAACATTCTCAAATCAAAGATCGAATAGCTTGCTGGTCACATCTAAATAATTGAACACATATAATAATTAAGTCTCTCAGCATCCTAGGGAGAGGCTATGATCAATTATGTACGATGAATACTACCTCGTATATTTCATAAATAAGTGAAATGTTTTTCATTAGTTCTCATTCTCAGAACTCACAACAGGGTGTGGTAGTAGTGTAGAGTAGCCTGCGCACGTGACAGAGTTGGTCAGTGATGGAAGCGCTAGTACGGAAAGAACGCGGTAAAAGACCAGTCAATTAATCAATTTCACATCCTTCATGATGATCGACTACTTACTGTGCACCACATGGTACTTGCGATAGACCGTCATCAGACCGATCAATCAGACCGTCATCTGTAAGCTAGCGTGCGTCAGTGATGAACGCAGCTTCATAAGTTAAGCGGTGGGAAGGCGCAATATCTTGCACGCACATTTTGGAAACTATGGTTTTGTCTTTCAGTTCGTTAAAATATTATAGCATAATAATATATCATATATTATGTTCTTAATATATATAAGAAATCCCTTGTACTTATAAATATAATATAATAGCAACATATCAGAATTTGTCCGACGCAAACGTAATATGAAAACGCGAATACACATAAAGACTGTTAACGTAATTTTAAGTATTCTCAGCTATGCCGTTACATTACTGTATGTCGACACACTACCCGTGTACGAATCTTTCCTTCATCCACCGAAATTCCGTCTTTGCTGCAGTTTTCTGAACGACAGGACGTCGATGGATGCAGGAACGTTCCAAACTACCGGACACGGTCGGCAGGGCAGCTACGATGTTGCTGCTGCTGCCCTCACGCGGCGAGGCAGCAACAACTTTGGCAACAACTTCATCTTCCGAGAGTAGGTTTGCTCTTCGTAGAGACAGCGTTGCTAGGTGTGGCGGAGGCGTTTAATGTAATTCCACTCGCGACTTTCAACAACCTCTAGCAACTTTGAGAACGACTTCATTTTTAGTCAATTTCTAGCTAATCTCTCTAATAATCTTCCTAGCGCCGGTATATATGCAGTGAGAAGCTAAAATGTAATTCAACTTACAACTTCTAACAACCTCTAACACCCAACTTCTAACAACTATTAACATCTATGAAAATGTCTTTAATATCGGGTGTAAGGTTGCTCTTCAGAGCGTTCGTAGATGTAGCAAGAAAATGTAATTCGTCATTTGAGCGCTGGATAATTTTCTAGGCGTCGATTGAAACGGAACCAGGATAAAAATACTGAGCAAATCTTTTATGCAGCATGTATTACAAATGCAGAACATTGTCGATTTCACACAATATTTCAAATGGCCAGCAATCTAAGAGCACTCGCAGGTTCACACGGTTACATAAGTGACAATAAATTAATTACAATATTAACAAGAACTGATAATGGAAATAACTATAATAGTCAGAATATTGATAATAATTATAATAATGATTGTTATAGTAATTATTATTATTATTTATTATATTATTATTATTATTATTATTGCCTAAGAATAAACAAATATGAATTAATCGTTAAGATTTTTACACTCGCTAATAATGACCAGAGCCCCTCCCTTTCTTCCGCCCGCCCAGCGTAAAATCCGCCAGTGAACGCAATAAAATGATGACGTAAGCTGCGTCGTTGACGTTCTAGCGATGCAAAAGGATGCCAGTGAAAGTTAATAGGCAACAGAGTGAGTTATGTACTGTACTCTTACGTACTGCTGGGCTGATGTATATCGTTATATATGTATACCGTTAAAAAACCTTCGCTACAACGTGACGTCAGCTGCGTCGTTGACGTGACGTAGCGTTCCGCCGCCATCTTATCGTTGTTTTCTCTGTCAGGAATCCGCTGCTGGGGATCGAGTTCGACCCGAACATGGCGACGTCGTCGGACGCCAGCCTGAAGCGACACACGGTCGACCACTCGTCCGCCAGGTTGCGTGGCGATCAGTCGGACATATATTCAGAGTTGTCCGCCACTATACCGTGCCCGCAGTGCAGCGGCGACGGCAAGCGGAAGTACCGCAAGGCAGCCGACAACCGGAAGTCGGCGCAGAGCGACAGCGGGGTCGTCTGTTCGACCTGCGGCGGCGACGAGGAGGTCGCCGCGTCACCGCGCATGCGCACCGACCGGCCGCGACACGCTAACCTATACGACGCGTCAGGCGCGCGCGTGCATCCGCTACAGGCGCCCGGCTGGATCAAATCCTTTTCGCACGACAGCGTGCGCCGGCAGGGGGCGCCACGCAGCGTCCCGCAGCAGAAGCAGAGGTCGCTGTCCGATGCCGTGTTGGAGCGTGCGGGTCGCTCTCCCCGCCCCGACCCGCACCACGTGTTCAACGTTCCCGAGCTGGTGACGCACTACGAGAACATCACGCGCGTGCGCACGTCAGCCAGCCGCGACGTCGGCGTCGTCACGGGCTCCGGTTTCCACGACGACGCCGACGAGCGACGGTACGAGACCTGTGATAGCGTCGCCGCCGACGACGACGACGACGGCGAGGGGGCGCCACGTGTACCGGACGACGCGGAGATGCGCGAGGCGACGGCGTCGCTCGATCAAGCGCTCGCCGACATTGAACACGGCGACTACATCAACTACGACAACTGTGATAAGGACATAGGCGACGACGACGCCGTCAGTAACGGTGGTGGCTCTCCCTTGCGGGAAGCAGCACGCGAGCCCACGTACGTGAACGATCTGTTTCACATCTCTGCGGGCGAGGAGTCGAGAGATCGTGCCGCGGAAGCGGACGGACAGTCGGACAGGCGATCACACACTGTCAGTGAATTAGATAAGGTGCGTACTGTATGTAGAATGTAAGGTAATTATTATACATGGTAATTATCCGTTATTATATCAGGAGCTTATAAATGGAAGCTAATCCATTTATAATCTCCTGATTATATTATATATATATATATGGTTTATTATGCGTGGTTATTCTACGTTACTATACTATATATATATATATATATATATTATATATATATATATATATATATATATATATGTATTATTATATATATATATGGTTTATTATACGTGGTACGTAAGGAGTTCAATATATGTGGCACGTATGGTGTTTATTATACATAATATGTAAGATGTTTATTGTACATGGTACGTAAGATTATTATAATGTATGGTAAGTAACGTCTTTATCTTACATGCAAATGTAAGGCGTTTATAACTGGTAAGAAAGGTGCCTAGAGATGACATGAAAGATGTTTATCATACCTAGTATGTTAGCAATTACTTGCGAATATACATGTTATACATACTATGTTAGCTCTTACTTTCGAATATACATATTATACATAGTATTTTACACATGAGTAATTTTACCTAGTGTTTCTTCAGGATGATATTATGTGTTCATTGGACATTGTGAATCATTTTTATTAGACGTTGCGAGCAAGATGGTTAGCGGACATTGTATATGATAGTGTCTATTGCGCCCGGTCTGTAAGATGCTTAATTGTAAAGATTTTCGTCTGACACCGTATGTAAGCCGCTTGGACGTGGTTTCACGGTGTCTATCCCATATTTTAAACACATGGTACGGTATACCGAGAAGATGCGGCACTTCAATATCCACACACACATGCGAGCAGCGGTAGCCTGGCTAACAATATGCATATACCTATCCTGGGTGCTTACACCTGTGTTGAGTTTTCCATTTCGCGTACTGCAGGCCCTGGGCACAATCGATTCCACACTACCAGCTATCAAGGTGGAAGAGCACGAAGGAGACGCTGACAAGCACAACTCTACGGAGGGTCATCTAGGGAAACCAGTGCGTAATGCGCCGGATAGATACGCGGGCTACGGTTTGCACACGGCTCCGTTCAGCTATGGCGTGCCGTCAAGTTCATGGAACAGTGACACGGACCAAGAGAAAGCCATCATATTCTAGCTGATCATCATGCTCACCAATATCGGCTGATTGATTTGCTGGTCGATTGATTGCCTTCACGATTGATCGATCGACTAATAGTTGATTGATTATTTGATGATTGGTCGATTGACTGTTTAATTGATTGATTGATTGATAGATAGACAGATAGATTGATTTATTGAGTGAGTGAGTGAGTAAGTGAGTGAATTATTGATTTATTGCTTAATTGTTTGCTTGCATATTTGATTGATTGCTTGAATGGTTTATTAATTAATTGATTGATTGACTGATTAATTGATTGCTTAACTGCTTGCATGCATGGTTGATTGACTGTTTGAATAGTTGAATAGCTTATTATTATTGATATTGATTGATTATTTAATTGATTGAGTGAGTGATTAATTGATCGAGTGAGTGAGTGAGTGAGTGATTGAGTTGAGTGAGTGAGTGAGGTGAGTGATGAGTGATGGTGAGTGAGTGAGTGAGTGAGTGAGTGATGTGAGTGAGTGAAGTGAGTGAGTGAGTGAGTGAGTGAGTGAGTGAGTGAGTGAGTGAGTGAGTGAATGAGTGAGTGAGTGAGTGAGTGAGTGAGTGAGTGAGCGAGCAAGTGAGTGAGTTAACGGTTGCCTCATTATTTGCTTGCTTGATTAATTGAATGATTAGTTGGTTGAATATCTGCTTGCTTGCGTGACTGATCGACTGGTTGATGGATGGATTGATTGACTGATTGAGTGAATGAATAATGATTGATTGATTGATCGGTCGATTGATTGATTGATTGATTTGCTAGTGTTTATAACAATTATGTGTTAATAAGAAACGGTCGAAATCTCAGTAGTTAAAATTCTCCTATCGTTTCACGTTTATATTTAGCTGTTTGGCGTTTCAGAATTCGGCATTCACGTGTTAATTTCGACCACATCATCTGGGCACATGCAGTCAATTAATGCATGTAACGTGAAATTTCTGCAGTATGTGCGCTTCCTTTCTCTACTCGAGTATTACTTGTCTTCATTGTGCAATTGTAATTGTAATTATCAACAGTATATCTGACTATAATTTCGTATGTAGAGATAAACGTATGTAATACATTTTTACCATAGCGAATTAAATATTATTGCTCCGAGATTGATATTCAACAGTGATGAGTATAGATTAATTCAATAAATTAATGTACACTGTGTAAGTGTGCATGCCCTGATAGGTAGCTCCTTTAATAGCTAGTGCAGTTAGCTAATGATGAAATTATGGCTACTGCGCTACAAAATAGTTATATTAACTATTTTAAAGTGCTAACCAAACTAGATTGCTTAAGCACATGTAAATACCACGTGCACATAGAAACCACATATAGTCGGTGTGCCAAATTACGACCACTAATCAACTTTCCTGATCAAACTATATTGTCTATTAAGTCGTGATTATTAAATTGACTATATAGGATGGCTTACTAATTCGTATGGCGTCCGGGACATTGATATTGGTAAACGTCCCTTGCTTATACTTGGATGTAGGAGCATTATACAACGTTTGTGGTTCCATGTTTATTACCTACCGAACACATTATATACAGAATTGCTGCGACCATGCATTTGAGCAATTTCCGTAGTGAAAGCTTATAGTTTTGACTTCTTGTGAAGTTCAATAGTATAGAAATACTCACACGTGAAATCCTATTTAAATGTATGACACGAGAAATTATATTAAAACGCATTTAACGAATTGAGCTAATTGTTACTGTGCTGTATACCACGCATGCATGTTGTATTTCCTTATGGAAACGTATTACGTAAATCTCGGTGAAAAGTGAGAAGATTATTAGTGTAGACCTCTCACCAGACATTCAACTTCCGTTTATATATNTGCGTCTATAATAATAGTTTTCATACTTAGCAGTCTAGTTTTATAACATACCAAAAAGATGGCGACGAGAACGATGACCAGCTTTCCCATAGCGACAGCCTAATCGATAGCCTAATCGATTCAGTGATGAAGTCAACCTTATCTAGATCGTCACACCTACAGAACACGAAGTGTGTAGTATATTCACAAACTCACACACCTTCACCACACGTACTTTCATCTATATTATAGGAAACATTCTATTTATTATTCTTGTGCTAAAGCGGATTTGCCATATGCTATTGCCGCTGTAGAAATATTTAAATATGCGGCTCGATATAATTTTATAAGAAAATTTAACAAATTAAATTTAGATTTTAAAGAAATAAATTTAGATTTTATAATTTATAGAACATCGATTGATCACACCTTACACACACATATATATTAACTCAAATGAAATAAGCTACTCACGTTGCAATAATATATACACACCCTACTTCGTTCTAAATGCGTCTTCTGAGTGCTAACTATTTGGTCCAGCCCTCGATGTGTGTATTCCAGGAGAGGAGAATATGACGAGTGAATCTGCGCTATATATATGCATATGTGTGTGTGTGTGTGTGTGTGTGTGTGTGTGTGTGTGTGTGTGTGTGTGTGTGTGTGTGTGTGTGTGTGTGTGTGTGTGTGTGTGTGTGCGTGTCCATCTCCACTTATGACATCCACACGCAAGTAATTGATATTGGTGCCATGGGCTGATTGTTTCGCCCTTATAATAACCTCCAATTTATAAATATAACGATCAATAATAATCCCTCATGTCCGATGTGCCAAATTTCAACCACATTAAACGTCACCGCGAGTTCAACATAAATTGACACAATTAACTTGTTTGAGATGCGGCGGCATTTAAAGCGGGACTCTTATTAAGAGGAGGGAAATTAATTGCCTTATTTCACAGTTTCACAGCCCGCACGCTGGCTTCATTGATAGATTCACACGCACGTGAGCGATGTGTGATGGTCACCACCAATATTAATTACAGTTAATTACCATTGAAATTATTATATATATATATATATATATATTATATATATATATATATAT